TGCCCCACCAACGTTAGGAAAACCAAAAATTGTGCAAGCTGCAATTAACATTAGTGTGGTTAGCTAAGATCCTTCGACCAGATGATCATACATTGTATGAGGTCATTTAATGTATGAGAATTTGTAAAAGAAAAAGTCTGTGACTTTACAAATCCTGCAATCTTTTGAAGGTCACCTGCGACAATGCGACTTTAGAGCTGGATGGTATTTCCTTGGACAGATGTTGATCAGTGGAAGGGCCAGCATTGGCCCGCAGAGAATCTGAGCCTTAAGACGGCAGCTGCAAAAATGGAAAGAGCTCAGCAGAAACTGGACGGCTTCTTTAGCAAGAACCACGGAGAGAAAGAATCAAAGTAAGACTGTCAACACAGCATCACCAATTTCAAACTTTAAAAGGTAGCTTCATTCATCATTCATTGTTCCTGGATACAATATGAAAAAATTCGTCATCATAACTATGTGAAACAGCTCCTCATATGCATACAAGTTGACGCTGAGATTTTACAAATCAAGCCACAGTTGAATTTTGAAATCAATCAATTGAAAAAGTCTAGAATCTAGGGAGTTAAAGAATATAAATATGAAAACAGTCTTGCCAGGATTTATGTAGGTAAAGTTTTTCATGCGTAAGATATCAAAATAAGTGTTTTACAGAAATTGACAGAACTCTGGATGAAGGAGCACACTTCATGTCCCTCAGGCTTTCCTTTAAGTGACATAAACAACATGGCAGCCGGAACCAAGAACTACATCTGTTGCTGAATTTTCCTTTGTTAGAGGGTAACCATCTCTCTTGGCCCTACAGACATTTAAACTAACACTAATTATCAAACAAGGAGTGTTGAAATAGAAAAATCTAACAGGGTAAATCACATTTTCAACCTCCATAACAGCTTTATCCTCGACTTACTCAACCACCGGTTTAATGTGGTATCATGCAGAAACTTTAATACAGCTTCGATCAATGATTCTCCAAAGATCTTGATTCCGTCTGTGATTCTAATGGAGACGAATTGGAGCGTAGTTCGCTACAAACTCTCAAAGTGCATCTTGGTACTGACACATACCTTGGATTAAACAATGTAGTTACATATCTGAGAAACCCCTCCTGTGCAGCTTTTTATTATTTCTCACAAGTTTTTAATGTCACTCCTCCTTCATCACTGAAACAAAGCTGATACAGTTGACACCCCAAACAACTCATGCATCCTCACTTCTTCAACTACTGGAACTTAATCAAGTGAAACAGAAACTTGGCAGAGAAAGGTTGGCCGGTTATGAACCAGGAACAAATTGGTGTACTAATTGCTGCAAAACTAGAGACAGTATCCCCAAAGACAGAGTCCCAAAACAATGCAAAGAACAATACCTTTGGGAATGTAAAAGTAGTATTGCATGTAGTATGCTACCCCTCTCCTTGGTTGCACATGTATTAATACTTATTATAAATATTGCAGCATGAATCTCCTCAGTCCAAAAATACAATCTCAAGGCTTTCTCAGTGCTTTTTTTGTGATAAATACAGAGAAATTATAATCATTTGATATTTATTCCTATCAAGTTAAATTGTAGATTTTTTTTGTTTTCGAAAGGGAAGTGGCGTTTGAAATCATACATACAGACCCCTTCTAGATTCTGTTTCTTTTGTCTTTTGGTCATATTTTCCTTATTTCTTAATTAAAATAATCGAGAAAGCAATAGCCATTTCAAATTTCACAGGAAAATTAAGCCAATCAGAAATCACAAAAATACCCTTTACCACCCAGTAAGAACAGTGGAGAGATCTTAGTAGTTCCTTGTTCAAGTATTTGGTCCTAATTTTCTTAAAATTGTAACAAGTGGTTCATTGCAAATCAGTACACTTTGAATGAGTGTGGCTGTAATAAAAATATTATTATTAGTTTCAAGATCTCTCTTTACTGCTTGTCTTTTTTTAGCATCACTGGCCTTTGAACAGGCATAATTACCTGTTTTGTAAAATTTTTCGTCGAATTTTTTTGTACTAAAAGATAGATCCTTGCAAAGGAAACCTGCAAATCCATCTTCTTGGGATCTGCACTCTGTCAAAACTTTACCATCTAGTGTCCTCCTTTTACATGTTTTGGGCAGGCCACATAAAATGTCTTCTGTACTGAAGAGCAGTACCTTGAAACTTTCAGTGTTTATTTAGTTGACTTTGATCAATCATGTGGCTCAGACAATTTCGTATCTACATAAACATGGATTTACTCTTAAGGATATTTTAGCGTTTGCGGCGACCAAAAAAATCTAGATTCTCAAGTTCCAAGGGGCGTCGCTCCAAAACGCAGTTAACGAGGTGTTAGGGACTATTTTGCAGATCGAGATAACAAACCAAAGTTGACTGTTTGCACGAATCTTTATTCTTGAAAAGCAATCAACCACGAACCACAATCAACGATTAAAAATCACGATCAATTGCACAATCAATCAATCTATTGATCATAAACTGAAACAACAATACAACGAAGCTCTATCAATCTAATGAAATGTCGTGGAATGCATAATCAAAGAATTGTGTGTAAAGAAGTGGGCCTAAACGTCGATGAAGAGATTAAATATGACAAAGAGCAATGCAAATAAAACAGTACAAAGTACAAAAGTTTCGATACAAATTACAAGAATTTTAGGTGGCTGGATAACAGCCCATTGTTCTTATCTAGATGGTGGGCGTTAACTTGCATTTGGTACAATTTTTGCCTTTAAATCTTAAATCAATCGCGAATACGGCAATACAACGGAATATCTGTTCGAATATTATCGCAGAACACTGAAAAGGTAGACTAGAAAAAACAAAGTAACAAAAGTACTCACATATCGGTCCCCCCTTGTGCCAAAGGTTGAGAAAACGAGAAAGGGCGAAAGTTTGCAAAGACAACTAAAAACTCAAGAAGAAGTGATTAAAGAACGCTAAAGGACGCGCGTGGTGACGCTGAAAGATCCGATTACAAAACCAATAGAAATGCAGAAAAAACAGATAAACATTGTAACTATGTACGTATCTAGGATCATTCTAAAATTAGTGAGCTAATCAATTCAATAAAAATGAGCCCTCTGGCTAGTGTCCTTAACAGATGTTGGTATTTTGTATGCGACCGGACGTACACAACACGCCTGAGTAATACTTTTCCTTTCTTGCGCTAGCGGTTTCTCTTTATTATCTCTGAAACATAGTTGTTATGGCCACGAATGTGGTATGGACGTTAGACCTGGTTTTGGAAGCTTTTCAATGCGACATTCGCTGTTCACGGAGACAATTTGTACCGAACAACTCCGCATCACCCACCATCTTCGTTACTTCGATCGATTTATACGAAGAAAGAAGAAAGGTTACACCTACAGCCGGTTACCTTATCACAGTAACCATGTTTCAACCATTAACATCGAGTTTATTTGCTGCCACGGCGATATCCATCCCCATCCAGGTCCACAGACTGGTCATCGGAATTTGAGAGTTAGCAGTAAGGGGAACATCATGGCGTATGCAAATCCTAGGTCAGATGTATCTGTCTTTTACGCCAACTCAAGGAGTTTGGTTAACAAGATAAATCAGCTGGAACTAGAGATTGCTACCTATCAATATGATCTCATGGCATTTACGGCGACTCACTTGGACAGCTCTATTTTGGATAGTGAACTCTTCCCTTCTATTTATACGGTTTTCAGGCGTGATTGTGTTCAAAATGGTCGACGTGGTGTCGGTATTTTGATAGCTGTACGCGGTACGTTGCGAGCGTCTGTGAGAGATGTTAGTTTCGATTCAGAATTATTATTTGACGATATTATATTCCCAGCGAATAGAAAAATTTGTTTAGGCGTCTTCCATAGGCTGCCTAACAGTAGCATTAACTGCCTGTTGGATCTACAAACGGCTCTTGATACTGTGCTTTCTTCATCACAAAACCCAAAAATGGTCCTTGTTGGCGACTTATTCCCGAATTCGATTGGAACACCGACTGCGCCTCTGTGGATTCACCTAACGCTACTTTTTTGTCGGATATCACACACGACAATTTTCTATTCCAGCTGGTCAAAGACCCAACTCGCAACGGAAATATCTTAGACTTGGTATTCGTCACGTCTCTTGACCTAGTCTACAATCTAAAAGTTGGCCTGCCCTTCTCTGACCATAACTCTACGCTGCTATCGAGAAAATCATTCTCTGGAAGGAAATCGCAGAAGTTGAGCTATTCATTTAAGAAGGCGGATTGGAGTCACCTTAGTAATCTTTTATATTACACTCCATGGCATTGTGCCTTTATGGATACTGACATTGATTGTATTTGGGCTGCATGGTCTGATATGTTTTTATCTGCTGTCAACGAGTGTATCTCAAGGCGGACAGTGAAGAGAACTTCAAATGCACCATGGATAAGCGGGGATCTAATTAAGTTGTGTAGAAGAAAGAAAGTGCTTTATAAAAGGGCAAAAAAAAAACCTGTGCTCTGTCTAATTGGAACAAATATCGTAAATTCAACAACTATGTGAAGAAGGAGTGCAACTCTGCACGTAGGCAATTTGTAAACAATCTGGCAGATGAACTAAAGACCGGAAACAGATCAAAGCCTTTTTGGAACTTTGTTTAATCAAAGAGAAAAGTTAAATATGATTTAGCATCCTTAAAGGTGAACGATTCGTATCTTAACGACGACCTGAGCATTGCCAATTGTACGAATTCTTATTTCTCATCGGCTTTTACTGTTGAGGATCACGAAAGTTTTCCCGACCTCGAATATATTACCGCTGAGAAATTATGTAACATCTTTTGTCCTGTTACGGAAGTTGAGAAATTGCTTAAAAATTTGAACATTTACAAGTCCCCTGGGCCCGACTACATACCTTGCATCCTAAGAGAATGTGCTCAAGTGTTGTCATCTCCACTGACTTTATTTTTTAATACATCCTTCTCCCAAGCTCAACTACCAAGTATATGGAAGTCGGCCCACATCACTCCAGTCCATAAGAAAGGGAGCAAAAATCTCATGGAGAACTACCGCCAAATATCACTGACTTGTATTGTTTGCAAGATTGCAGAAGCTGTGGTAAAGTCCCGTGTGGTCGACTTTTGGTAAGTCCTCAATCTTTTTAATCCAGACTAATTTGCGTATCTAAGGGGTAAATCCACGTTGGCACAATTCCTTACATGTTACAATGACTGAGCAAAGGTTAGGAATTGCTCGCAACAAACGGATATCATCTTCTTAGATCTCTCTAAGGCTTTCGACAGCCTGCCACACGAGCGTTTGCTGCTGAAACTACAACGGTATGGGACAGACAGCTCTCTACTGATGTGGATTAGAAATTTTTTGACGAATAGAAGGTAGCGTGTCGTGTTAAGGAGCAATTGTTCAGACTGGTCACCCGTGATTTCAGGTGTGCCTCAAGGAACAGTACTTGGCCCAATCCTATCTATTATTTATATCAATGATATTTTGGCAAACATTACATCAACCGTGAAAATCTACGCTGATGATACTAAAATCTATCGCGAGATCATGGAGCCTGATAAGGATATACCAGCCTTACAGCTGGACTTGAACAAATTAAGCGATTGGGCTGGCAAGTGGCAGTTGCACTTTAGTCCTGAAAAATGTGAAGCTATGCGTGTAACGCACAGTAGAGACAGATCCAAGCCAAGTTATTCCCTCGGTACGCAACTAAAATCTGTCGACAGTGCCAAGGACCTAGGGGTCACAATAAACTACGATCTATCTTGGGGTAAACACGTTTCCTACATAGTAAACAAGGCAAACAAAGTGTTAGGTATAATTAGGCGATCACTTAGAAACGATAATCGGTATGCATTTTCCTGCCTCTTTAAGTCGTTAGTAAGACCTATACTCGAATACGCTGTCCCCGTTTGGAGCCCCTACCAAACAAAAGGATATCGAATCCTTGGAAAAAGTCCAAAGAAGGGCATCTCGGTTGGCGTTAAAGCAAAAACGCGGAGAAATGAGCTATGAAGACTGCTGCTGCCTAATAAATTGGCAAACTTTGGAGAAACGAAGAGAGTTTTTATCTCTGATCCAGTGCTACAAGACGGTTCTGGGAATAGATAGTTCCTTCTTCGAACTTTTTTGAACTTACTTAATGTAATCGAACTAGAGCCAATCACGATTATAAGCTCTACGTAAAAATAGCTATCGTAAATTGCTACAAATTTTATTTTTTTGTACGGACCGTTAATATGTGGAATAATTTGCCCAAAGATATTGTACACGCAAGATCATTGACTTTATTTCGTAACAGACTAAAGATTTACATGAATATTGATTGAGATGATGGTAAATAGTTTTTAATTATCTGTATACAATGTTTTGGTCCTTTTATGCCGGGAATCTTTTGTATAGGGTTAAACTCTAGAATATCCCCTTTCGAGAGATACTTTTACAATTTTTCATTTTCCTTCTCTTGAATAAAGTATTGTCATTGTCATTGATATCAAAGCAGACAATGTCGTAATTGTATGTGGTGCCAGTTCTCCTTCATATACTAGTGACTGTTCTCTTTTGGTAGAATGACCTATGCAGTCGGCCCAAACCTTTAATGTACCTTCCTTTGTGCTTTGGGCAAAAGTACATTTGTAATGATCCTGAGTTTAGGCTGCAATAAAGTCATATAATAGATGAGCTTAAGGTGCAACTAAAGTTTATATTTATTAAAACACAATCCTATTGAAACTATTCATTTATTGTTTTTTTGGCTTGTTTAATTTATTAAAACTGATAAAGAGTGAAATAAAGATCGAAATAGCAGTCACTGCCCCCAAAGCACTTGAAGCTTTTCGGATGACACATCGTAATTTAGCAGCTGACAAAATGGCACATCCTGTCAGTCAGTGCTTTGGTGGTGCTGTAGTCATAGATGTAATGTTTCCCTTTCTTGCTACCAAGATAGCATTTGATTTGAGGCTTTGGATTTAAGGTCAACTGGTTAATAAATATTTATGTAAATATGACAGTTTTATAGGGATAAGTTCAAGGAAAAAGTCCCTTAATGATTGGTTCAGCTGCATGCTGAAGAGCAATACCCTGCTGCAAGCAAGGCCAGGGAAGAAACATATTGTGGTTAAAGACAAGCAAGGAGGTTTTGACTTCATTACGGAAACTCTGGAAAAGGAGCTAGTTTCCCAACCTTAAGAACCAAAATGGAGCTTTTGTGTTCATGAGGGCTGACAGAGGTAAAGCTGCTCACCCACTTTTGCTCATTCCCATGCTGTAAACAGGTTATTCAATCCCAAAGTAGTGGAATAATATACATCAGACCTATTTAGAGTGAACTGAGCCTGGATATAGTTATCAAGTCTGGTATTTCCTCCGAAGATGCAACTATGACCAAGTGTCTTAACTCAGTAATGAGTGTGCCATTATTCTTGGATTTTTGTCTTGAGAACGATTGCTATCCTCCATGTTGATGTCCAGGCAAATAGATACAAATGCCCTTGTAGTTAGGTAAAAGTGAGGAAGTAGAAATGGTTCTTTGTGAAGACAAAGGGATTGGATTTTATTGAATAGCATCAGCTATAAAGGAGCAAGTCTGCCTTTGAAGAAGAGTTGACCATAGAGAGGATAGAAAAGTGGACACAAGTGATAACTCGCGGTGGCATGAAGGCTAAAGAGATTTGTTTAGAAGGACTGCGAACTATTTCTGACCCTGAGGCTAAAAACAACCCGCCATGTTGTTTTCTCGCACTAGTGTAGCCTGTTATTTCATTAAATTGAATGAGTTAAATTTATGAAAAATTCCTTTGTTTTGAACCCCAAACTCATTCGGAAGAACAACATTCTCATAATGAACAAGTATGCAGCAAGCATTTTGTCTTGGGAAAGCCATTTCCTTACTAGCACAAGCACAATGTAGGTTGGGTGCCAAATTTAGAGCTTAGAAAGAAAACTTCTGAATGTAAGATATACTATGAACTGAAAGCCAAGAGGAAGGAGAGGGCCAAGACAAGAGAGAAACACGCCTTCGAGCAACAGTAACATGAATTGGCAGAGCAGTGTCCGAAGCTAACTGAAAGTAGTCTTTCTGTGGCCCATATTGACTTCACTCAGCCAAATACCTCCACAGAAGAGGAACAAAACGGGACACAGGGGAAACCAAGATGTCTCTCCTGGTAATCTTACGGCATGTGACACGGCAATCATCCATTCGTATTGCGACAGCTCATCAAAAACAAACTTGCGAAATTAACAGGCTAACTTCATGAGTTTGAAATGTACTGAGGCAGTCTTACTTTCTACTTCAGAAGCTTGTGGACAGCCAATCAGTACAAGGGACTATTAGCAGCTGGCTACATGAATGAAGACATCGTTTAAAAAATGAATTTTACTTTTTTGGAATGGAAACAGAAACAGATTATTTGCTTTTGGGGTTTCTGTTCACAGACCATGCAAATTTTGGTGATTTGAAGCTGTTCTTTTCAGAGGACGGCTATGAAATGTATAAAGTCTTACAAGGCACGTGCTGAGCTTTTACTCTGCCCATCACAGCTTTTGTTTTGCCACGTCCTGGTTGCCGTCACCGTCGTGTTTTTAGAACATTAGAAAAAGCTCAACATTATTAAACCAGCGGCTATTAAACTGATCAACAGATGTATTTCAATCAAAAAGTTGCTCCTCTGCAGCCAGCTGAAAGCCACATTCTTACATCAATGAATACTGCACAAACCGGCTACAAATCATGAACAACGCAAATATAGGTACAATGAAGAGAAGATCAACTCATCCAAAGGGTCAGGACTTTAGATGTCACCAGATAGATCAGAGGTAAGACTCTTTTCTTAAAAGAATTAGACAACTTTAAGTGGAAGTAGATGGAGAAGAGTTTAGAACTGTAAAGGAGTGCAACCTAACGGGAGCATTAAACCTCTTTACACTTGCTTGATTTCAATTAAAGTCAGTTCTTGAATGAGTGAAGTTTTTTTAACCTATTAAGTATACTAGAATCATAAGTGTGTATTACTTTATTTCTGCATTCAGAAATTTCCATTTCGACGTTGACACATCTTTTAATATAATTGGGACCATTTCTTTATTCCTCATCAGATTTCAAAGTAAAGACAACAACTATTTTGCTAACTTCAACTTAATTTCTCCATGCTTCATGAATTAAAGTTGCTGTCTCTGATGCAAGGCCCAATGCAACATTAACAAATAAAGACAAAATGCTCTTAGCATGCTGTTTTCCTGCACACACCAAAGGTGTCTACAAAATCCTTTCAAGTATTAAGGCCTTCATAGATGACATGTATCTTGACCAAAATAACGTCATAAAAAAACATTTCAGATATAAAAAGACAATTTAAAGCTCATCATCTCCAGCAATTAGAATATCACTCTAAATCCCATGACATAAAAGAAGTGGCTGACCTTGGAAAGCTACAAATAACAGGAATACGCTTACAGTCTTGTTTGGGATGCGGGGCAGGCTTCGCTGAATCATGTTTGTGTGTTAGTAGTGTGCTAGTTTACCTTGTGGCTTGGACAAAGGTGATTGCTCTCCTGTACTGAAACGAAGGGCCCTTGGATACATCTCAGTCTTGCGAACAAGGTTAAATACTCTCGTGTCTGTAGTATTAACCTTGAATCTGCAAAGAAAATGAAAGCTGTCTTCAATGTAACAAAAGAGAATCTGGATGAGGGACCTCAGCTTCCTAAGAACTTGGAAGTCTTCACTGAAAGCCATGCTCAGAAGCCGCAGTTACAAATGAGAAACTTTTATTCTCACCCCACCAAACTCAAACAAAGCCTGTTTTGCTGAGCATGGTACCCCTGTATGCCGACCAATTACATGTTGCACAGTCACAAAATCGCAATCTGGATTGTATCAATCCCACACTACACCCACTTTTCTAGAGATAAAATGTTTACCAAAGACCCCATCGTGATCCAATATTTTGTCTGAGGTATTTCCTACTGATCGCAGAAATTCATTTGTTTTGCCTCTCCTCTGAAAGTTTCCATATTTCTTCTCCTTGACTAGTATTTGAAGGTACTTTTTCCACAGTAATTCCTTTATCACCACAACTTCTGGTCCCATAGTCAGAAATCACACATAAAAACCTTTTTTTTTCCCTTACATCAACGCAACTCATCCAACTGAAGAGGGCCAAGGTTCTAATAAATAATGTATGCTTGTTTCAAGTTGTATGTATACCTTCTGCTTCTTAAGCAACCAAAGTCCATTTAATATATGAAAAAGGCTATGAGCAATCTAAAAACAGTGGAGTAAAAATGAACAAACAATCAGCACCTGCTCAACCAAGCAAGTAGATCTCAAGGAAATCGTTACAACTGCGAGAAGCCAAATCACATCACCTACCACTGCTGCTCAGGGCCACTGGGTCAGAATAAGTTTATATAAGAATAAGAGCTGTACAAAGGTGCCTCACTATGGTAGTTAAGCGAGGTGGAGTTTCTATACAAGTTTCCTGGTCTCCAGATCTGAAGTATTAAGTTCAAATATCCACTCCATTTTTGCATGAGTCAACCAACTGCACACCGTCAGAGGGGGAAACACGAGGGGATACCTTCTCTCACTGCTGTTGAAGTCAACCTCTACTAAAAAGTTTTTTGTGTTGCGAAAGATCTCTGCATTATTCACAGATGCGTACATAATATTTGCTTCGCTCCGTGTTCTTTGCTGGAGTAAAATTGGAGGATATTACCTCCCATATTAAGTTATTTGCTGATGACACCTTGTTGTATGGTCTTGGTACACAATTCCGACGATGCAATCAGTCTCCAATCTGATCTGGACAAATTAGTTGAATGAGCAAAGATGTGGCAAATGGCCTTCAATCCATCAAAGTGTTACGTTCTACGCGTTTGCAGAACCAAGTGTCCTTTTATACACCCATACACTATGCTTAGCCATACCTTACAGGCTGTAGACCACTATTTTTACCTCAGGGTTTCTCTATCAGGGGACCTAACCTGGAAGCCACATATCCTGAACATTACAAAGCCAATTCGACACTTGGCTTTGTCAAGAGAAACTTGCATCGTTACCCACAGAAGGTTAAAGATCAGGCCTAAAAAACGCTAGTGAGACAAATGTTGGAATATGGTTGTAGTGTGGGATCCGTATAGAGCATATCAGAAATTATGGCTCAAACAGGTCCAGCGCAGGGCAGCACGCTTTATAACATTGGACATTTGGATGTGTAACCAATGCTCGAAAGCAAATTAGTTGGCCAACTCTCAAAAAACGAAGACAAGTAGCTAGACTGACACTGATGTAAAAATGTGTTACCAACCAGACTGCTATAGATAT